AAAAAAAAAGATTTTACACCAACTGAAACTCTACGCTTGTGACGGATACCTCGTCGTTATATCTTAGAAAATAATCAAAAAATTAAAGGCAAAATAAAAGGAAATGTGGACCCTATCTAAACTACTGAACCCTAAACGATAGCCGATGCAATTTGTGTTGAATTTTGACACATGTACCGTCCTAGTATAAAGTTTGTGTATATTTTCTCCCTGTACCATTTGAAGATTAGACGCTGATTATAACGACAGAAAATACAATAGAGGGAGTATGATAATGATAGGGTCGCTAAACGATTGTTGACGGAATATAGTGACAGGCCTAATCCCCTGGTCGACTGGGTAGGCACGCCCCCTTAGAGTACTCATGTAAACAAACGGTCTCCCGTAGCGAACCATCTTTTTGTCATCAGCTTCGAGCGCGCAGCGGATTAAATCTTTAGTGACACTAGCTAAATGCAGTTAAAATTGTGCCAGCTGATATTTAATTTAATTTTGCTGTGTCGGACGTTGTGGACCAGCTCACTGGTTCATTGATTCATTTCTTTTCTGAAGATTGGTGATGCAGATTTTGGGTGCTTAATTATTTCCCCTCCTAACAAGAGAGAGTGGAAGGGAGAGAAACAGAGAGAGTGTCAAATGAAATGGGTAATATGAGTAATACAATATGGTACTTAAATTTAAGGGACCCAAGGTGGAAGAAACGATAGACTGTTTCGCATCAAGGTGTGCCATTATAATCAGTACATGGCAATCAAACACCGCTATATGTATAACCTTGAGTTATCTAGATGTCTGTTGCGCAAGAAGAGCTCAGCATATATCCTCGACATACTAATGTTACGTCTATTTCTAAACAACAACGAGAAAAAACCGTCCCGTCATAGTTATGAGACAAATTACTTAAAATAAATTACTATGCTGTGGGAAAAATCCCCCGTTTGTATAAACAACAGGAGAAAATATCTAGCAGTGGCGCAAGGGCAATTGAACTCCAGCGTGCAACAGGGGAAGCCTGACAGTGTGATCACACTATATGAAAATACGGTGAATTAACAGTCTAAGACATCGGTCAAAGAGGGGGGATTTTGCAATAGCTGGCAATCTATTGTTAAACGCGATAGTTATCATTTCTTAAACAAACTTAAACCAGGCCTTAACAGTAAGATTGTAAAATAAGATTAGTGATGTAAAATAATAATACCTCATCGTTATATCTAAGAAAATAATAAAAAAAAATTAAAGGCAAAACAAAGGAAATGTGGATCCTATCTTAACTACTGAACCCTAAACGATAGTCGATGCAATTTGTGTTAAAGTTTTGGCACATGTACGTGTCATTCAGTTAAGTTATTCAGCACGTGGTAATCTTAAGGACTGAAATGTCCTATATATATATCAGCCAGTTAATTCAACAACACTAAAAACTTAGTCTCCCTTCCCTCTCCATGACTGAGATAATAATTTGTTTTGCTCACCCCCTATTGCAACCGCAATCAAGGTATATGATACATATACTTCCCTAGTAAAATAAGGTGTCACCCCTAATGCAATGCGTAAAGTGAAAACCATGTCATGAACCGGTGTTTTTGGTATTAAACTTCCTAAAGTATTTTTCACAAAATCCTACTGATTGTACAACCAATGAATAAGATATCCATAATAAAAGGAGCCAAAGCCACATTTTAGTTTTTGACAGTATCCTCAGGCTCTGGATCAGAAGACGAACCTGCGCATGAAATCATAAGTTCTGTAACGCTTGCGGAATGACGGCGTTCCATATGTATGCGCGTAAAGATAATATTTTTTAATTTTTATTTTTGAGCAGTGTCATCCCTCAGTTATCTATTTCCAAGGATAACACGCACCTCATTTTGAATATTAGATAATTCAAATGCCACGTTATACAGTTTGCAAAATAAAAGATAATAGTTCTAATAAATATGTATGGTTTTAACGCTCATCAACTTGACATCACTGTACTTTGGAGTACACCTTGTTAGAATAGTCTTGTTTTTTTGTATCGTTCACGACAAGTAGACCAGCTAAATCAAGTCAGTAGACTTGTGCCGTTTTAAATCAATGTCTACTTTCAATGGGCATTGATTGTACAATGACATTATGAGGCAAGTGGCATTCTGCTGCATCTAGTGAAAGGCACCAGATTTTTTAACTTTTAAAATGACAATAAAAAAAGCATGATACCGTTGTAAAAGCCGTGTCTGTACATTAAAAACTGTCACAATTGATGCACTTTTTATTTGTTTATTTTTCGTTATTTTTTTTCATACAGAATGCAAAAAAAACTGATGACATTCTACTTTCAACACCTGATGTAGCAACAGTCTTCTTGGGTGAAAGACAATTTGAAAACAGTTCATTCTTATCTTCAAGTAGACTGTTGACACCTGTCAATGCAGTTAAGTCAACCGGTTATTTGGTTTACTTGTTGGACTTGAAGTACTCATTCAGCACATCAAGGGCCTGGGATTCCTTTCCATAGTCCTGAAGTGAAAATAAACATGTTTCAGCTGAATACACACAATCGACAGCTGTAAACAAGCTTTTACACTAGCCTGAAATATTCCTCTCCCAACAATATCTTACACATAATTTTACTTCTAAGAAATAAAATCTGTAACAACCATGCTAAAACACCATAATTGACTTTATTCACTTTCAGATGAATAATTTTTCAATAGTAGCAGACAAAAGTGACAATATAGAACACAAAATAAGAAGTCAAACATAAGAAAACGTGGTTAAAAATGTCTGTCCACTCAAAAAAAATTCCAGTTTTCCAAATTTAGAGCAAAATATATACCTTGACTACAACACAGCTGCAGCCGACAACTTTACGGGCTTTGCCCTCCTTGTCTATCTTACACAGACCAGCCCATTCACCAAGCTTTTTGTTGTCATCAACCTAAAATACAAAGGTAAACATCCACATGTGAAAGGTTGCACTATAGATTGTACAAATTAAATTTGTTGCTGCAGGTTCATGCTGTTGTATTAGACCAAGATATAAAACTGCCATTAATACATATTAAAAGAATTCTAATCAGGTTTGCAACTACAAGCACTTTTATTGGAAATGTTTTTAAATTGTATTAAATATTAAACACCTTATATTGTTTTTAATAAAAGTAACCCTTTAAGGTTTACCAGTGTCCAACTAGTGCAAAATTATGTTTTAAAGCAAGCACTACTACATGCAGTTTGCTAAAATTAAGTTTAATCCTTTGTCAAATAATACTGGCCCGTGGCCAATTAAAAAATTAAACATTTTGTAAATATATTCCCCACTAAGATAAAACAATCTTCTCAGCCCCAGGAATATTGCAAGTAAGTGTGGGAATATGACCTCTCATCAAGTTTTAGGCTGGCTTAATGTTCAATTAATAACCTGTTCAATCTGTTCAATTTTTATTAATAACTATATTAGCAGCACACTAATCTTGTAACATGTTTCTAAAGAAAAGGTATACCAAGCCCTTGGAGGGACATGTTATACACTTGGCAGTGTAATTAAAATCTCTCAGCTGAACATACCTTGATGAGACTAATGCCATGTTCAGCACAGAGAGCTTCTACCAGTTTTACGTATGCTGGTTCATCACAGTTACTGGCCAGAATACATATGTGTGCTTCACGCCTAAAGGAAGAAACATATTTTATAGTAGATCAATGATATCTACTTTATTCTACTTTTCAATTACTTTTACAATAATGAATTAATTATAATATGCTTACCTTTACTACTGCGACCAAGTTTTACAGACTTTCAGTAATCTATTTTCCAAAATACACGAGTTGTTAGTATTACTTAAAGATACAATTTCAAAATTTCTGAAAAATGAGTTGGCTTTCAGCAGTGTATGAAATTCAAGGAAATTACTAGCCAGACCACTGGGCAGGTAACTCTGAAAAGTTACCAGCCCGGCCATGTAGTTACCTGCCCTAGTTATGATAACCCCTAGAGTTAAGAGAGGTATGCTGAGGGGGTCTAGAATGCATTCTTGGGAGAGTAATTTGGAAATGAAAGGGCAATAGCATGCCTTATGCATGGAAATTTAGAAATTGATTGGAATTTCTACTGAATGGTACCTTGTCAGTGTTGGATTTAGAGGGGGGTCAGGGGGGTCCTGACGCCCCCTTTTAATTTGTGTAAAAAAAAACTCACCTCTTGAAATAAGACTTTCACTAGTTGAATCATAGTTCTAAACCATACCAAATGGCATCATTCACCATCTAAAATACCAAAAAATTTCAGGGCCCTCTAGTGGGCGGGGAAGGGCGGGGGCAGTCAATTCAGTTTATGTTCACCTTGCAGGCTGTCTCATTTCTTCTTCAATAATTTATTCATAACTTTTATTCCGATTTCGTGATATCACTTGATCATAATTTTTGCTTTTCTGTATAGCAACATGTATGACCAAATATATATATTGTTGTCAAATAAATCGATCTCTGTGCTGGCAATAAAGAAGAAAGAATTCAGCACGTAGGGTCCCTTTGAATATCGCTTTTAAGCTTTAAAAAGCGGTCGGGAACGGTCCTGCACGCTAATGGCCCATAGACAGTCCTGCAGGGCCTCGTATCTCGAAAGCATTGCTTATTGAGAATAGCTATATATATATCACATAGAGGCTACAATATATTATATGGGGCGAGTATGGGGGAGTTATTGGATCGAGATGCTTGGGCTCGGTCGCAATGCGTGTTACTTTCGAGTTACGGTTTTACAAAAAATGTTGCCGCTCGACTAATTGCAAATCGAAGTCACCTTTCCATGGGTCCCAATTTGTTCTCTTTCGTTTGGTTCTGTCGTAATCTTTGTTATTTTTATTAATTTCCTCGGTTGTTTTTCTTTTGTGAACTTCTCTATCGGACTTGATAGAATCTTTTCATTTTTGACAGCCCAAGATGAAAGCACGTGGGAAAAGAACTACATCTGACGCATGGCGTAAACTCGTACGTTCACTCATAATTTTGGGATTCAAATTTTTTGTAAAATTCTCCTTTAATTTGCCTCCGTTGCCTTTATTACTGTTGATTATAAGCACTTCATGTACCTATAAGTCTATTTAATCAATATTATAACTTTTTATACTTTCACATTTTTATTACTCTCAACCTACAAATTGCTAGTCGCGGTATCTCTACACAAAATAATGACGTAAGGTTATCTGCTGTCTGCTGTGCACTGAAGCTAGTTAAGAACAATGTGCCTCGATTCAAATTGTCTTTCAACTTCATATCACACAGACGGAACTTCGAAAACGAGGCCACTGAGAGGGAGACTGTTGGTTACATTTCGATACAAGCTATCGATTATGGTTAGTTCTTTGCTTCTATGAAAGTGGGTGNGCGATGCAATTTGTGTTGAATTTTGACACATGTACCGTCCTAGTATAAAGTTTGTGTATATTTTCTCCCTGTACCATTTGAAGATTAGACGCTGATAATAACGACAGAAAATACAATAGAGGGAGTATGATAATGATAGGGTCGCTAAACGATTGTTGACGGAATATAGTGACTGGCCTAATCCCCTGGTCGACTGGGTAGGCACGCCCCCTTAGAGTACTCATGTAAACAAACGGTCTCCCGTAGCGAACCATCCTTTTGTCATCAGCTTCGAGCGCGCGGCGGATTAAATCTTTAGTGACACTAGCTAAATGCAGTTAAAATTGTGCCAGCTGATATTTAATTTAATTTTGCTGTGTCGGACGTTGTGGACCAGCTCACTGGTTCATTGATTCATTTCTTTTCTGAAGATTGGTGATGCTGATTTTGGGTGCTTAATTATTTCCCCTCCTAACAAGAGAGAGTGGAAGGGAGAGAAACAGAGAGTGTCAAATGAAATGGGTAATATGAGTAATACAATATGGTACTTAAATTTAAGGGACCCAAGGTGGAAGAAACGATAGACTGTTTCGCATCAAGGTGTGCCATTATAATCAGTACATGGCAATCAAACACCGCTATATGTATAACCTTATCTAGATGTCTGTTGCGCAAGAAGAGCTCAGCATATATCCTCGACATACTAATGTTACGTCTATTTCTAAACAACAACGAGAAAAAACCGTCCCGTCATAGTTATGAGACAAATTACTTAAAATAAATTACTATGCTGTGGGAAAAATCCCCCGTTTCTCAGAGCGCACAATGTGTGACGAGATGATACTATTCAAAAATAAATGAAAAGGTTTGTATAAACAACAGGAGAAAATATCTAGCAGTGGCGCAAGGGCAATTGAACTCCAGCGTGCAACAGGGGAAGCCTGACAGTGTGATCACACTATATGAAAATACGGTGAATTAACAGTCTAAGACATCGGTTAAAGAGGGGGGATTTTGCAATAGCTGGCAATCTATTGTTAAACGCGATAGTTATCATTTCTTAAACAAACTTAAACCAGGCCTTAACAGTAAGATTGTAAAATAAGATTAGTGATGTAAAATAATAATACCTCATCGTTATATCTTAGAAAATAATAAAAAAAATTAAAGGCAAAACAAAGGAAATGTGGATCCTATCTTAACTACTGAACACTAAACGATAGTCGATGCAATTTGTGTTAAAGTTTTGGCACATGTACGTGTCATTCAGTTATGTTATTCAGCACGTGGTAATCTTAAGGACTGAAATGTCCTCTATATATATCAGCCAGTTAATTCAACAACACTAAAAACTTAGTCTCCCTTCCCTCTCCATGACTGAGATAATAATTTGTTTTGCTCACCCCCTATTGCAATCGCAATCAAGGTATATGATACATATACTTCCCTAGTAAAATAAGGTGTCACCCCTAATGCAATGCGTAAAGTGAAAACCATGTCATGAACCGATGTTTTTGGTATTAAACTTCCTAAAGTATTTTTCACAAAATCCTACTGATTGTACAACCAATGAATAAGATATCCATAATAAAAGGAGCCAAAGCCACATTTTAGTTTTTTACAGTATCCTCAGGCTCTGGATCAGAAGACGAACCTGAAATCATAAGTTCTGTAACGCTTGCGGAATGACGGCGTTCCATATGTATGCGCGTAAAGATAATATTTTTTAATTTTTATTTTTGAGCAGCGTCAACCCTCAGTTATCTATTTCCAAGGATAACACGCACCTCATTTTGAATATCAGATAATTCAAATGCCACGTTATATAGTTTGCAAAATAAAAGATAATAGTTCTAATAAATATGTATGAAGGTTTTAACGCTCATCAACTTGACATCACTGTACTTTGGAGTACACCTTGTTAGCATAGTCTTGTTTTTTTGTATCGTTCACGACAAGTAGACCAACTAAATCAAGTCAGTAGACTTGTGCCGTTTTAAATCAATGTCTACTTTCAATGGGCATTGATTGTACAATGACATTATGAGGCAAGTGGCATTCTGCTGCATCTAGTGAAAGGCACCAGATTTTTTAACTTTTAAAATGACAATAAAACAAGGCAGCAAAGCTGTCAAATGTACAGACAAAGAACAGAAAATAAAGATGCAAATAAGTGAAAAATTAAATTTTCACAAAAAACTGTTAAATTGCCACAAAAATTTACCAAACAGACTGCGTTGCCTATTGAAGCTGTATGTTAGACCCATGTTTCTTTCCTGTAAGTTTGATAACAGTAAGTGACACGATTTCCCTTAAATGGTCATCATAGGAGCAGTGCCCAAAATAGGAGTTTCTTCAAATTTTGATGCAACATCACATAATGTTTAACAGCATAATGACAATCAAATGTTATTAATAAAATATTAGTAACATGNCTGATGACATTCTACTTTCAACACCTGATGTAGCAACAGTCTTCTTGGGTGAAAGACAATTTGAAAACAGTTCATTCTTATCTTCAAGTAGACTGTTGACACCTGTCAATGCAGTTAAGTCAACCGGCTATTTGGTTTACTTGTTGGACTTGAAGTACTCATTCAGCACATCAAGGGCCTGGGATTCCTTTCCATAGTCCTGAAGTGAAAATAAACATGTTTCAGCTGAATACACACAATCGACAGCTGTAAACAAGCTTTTACACTAGCCTGAAATATTCCTCTCCCAACAATATCTTACACATAATTTTACTTCTAAGAAATAAAATCTGTAACAACCATGCTAAAACACCATAATTGACTTTATTCACTTTCAGATGAATAATTTTTCAATAGTAGCAGACAAAAGTGGCAATATAGAACACAAAACAAGAAGTCAAACATAAGAAAACGTGGTTAAAAATGTCTGTCCACCAAAAAAAATTTCCAGTTTTCCAAATTTAGAGCAAAATATATACCTTGACTACAACACAGCTGCAGCCGACAACTTTACGGGCTTTGCCCTCCTTGTCTATCTTACACAGACCAGCCCATTCACCAAGCTTTTTGTTGTCATCAACCTAAAATACAAAGGTAAACATCCACATGTGAAAGGTTGCACTATAGATTGTACAAATTAAATTTGTTGCTGCAGGTTCATACTGTTGTATTTGACCAAGATATGAAATCACTAATGACCAAGATATAAAACTGTCATTAATACATATTAAAAGAATTCTAATCATGTTTGCAACTACAAGCACTTTTATTGGAAATGTTTTTTAATTGTATTAAATATTAAACACCTTATATTGTTTTTAATAAAATTAACCCTTTAAGGTTTACCAGTGTCCAACTAGTGCAAGATTATGTTTTAAAGCAAGCACTACTACATGTAGTTTGCTCAAATTAAGTTTAATCCTTTGTCAAATAATACTGGCCCGTGGCCAATTAAAAAATTAAACATTTTGTAAATATATACCCCACTAAGATAAAACAATCTTCTCAGCCCCAGGAATATGACCTCTCATCAAGTTTTAGGCTGGCTTAATGTTCAATTAATAGCCTGTTCAATCTGTTCAATTTTTATTAATAACTATATTAGCAGCACACTAATCTTGTAACATGTTTCTAAAGAAAAGGAATACCAAGCCCTTGGAGGGACATGTTATACACTTGGCAGTGTAATTAAAATCTCTCAGCTGAACATACCTTGATGAGACTAATGCCATGTTCAGCACAGAGAGCTTCTACCAGTTTTACGTATGCTGGTTCATCACAGTTACTGGCCAGAATACATATGTGTGCTTCACGCCTAAAGGAAGAAACATATTTTATAGTAGATCAAAGATATCTACTTTATTCTACTTTTCAATTACTTTTACAATAATGAATTAATTATAATATGCTTACCTTTACTACTGCGACCAAGTTTTACAGACTTTCAGTAATCTATTTTCCAAAATACACGAGTTGTTAGTATTACTTAAAGATATAATTTCAAAATTTCTGAAAAATGAGTTGGCTTTCAGTCAGAAATTACTTTCTGTGAGCATTTAAAATTGATAAATTTGAAAAAGTTATGTATTAGAAAAAGACAAGACTTTAAAAAATCTCAACTAATTACAGTAACAAACTTACTTGTCCAAAGACTTAGCACATTCATGGAGACCACGGGCAAGACCATCATGCATCAGAGCTGTCTTGAGCACCTCCTGCAGTGCAGTGTTGATGTCCATGGGCCCACCTCCAGAGGCAGTTGGCACATCATCTCTGAGAAAGTTACGCAATACGTTTATTTGAGTAGCAGACATTTACTCAAAATATCAAAGCAAATTAATTTAAAAAAGATACTGAATATCACAGATGTTATATGGTAGTGGTTTGTGTGAGGGCGGGGGGGGGGGGACTGCAAATGTGCCACGGTTTCTACAAACATGACAGCTCGAAATATACCGAGTCTTTGTTCATACTGCTGGCTAATAATAAACTCGTGGCAAATTCAGTGAATATAATTTCTTTCCTGAATGTGACTAGCACCTTTGTTTATATGCATTACTTATAGCTAAAATAGCATTTTCTGACACGTGAAATAAAGAGAACATACCCTTCCGCGTCAGACATTTTTAACACGGACGTCCTTCTGTAAAATAAAAAATGGTCATGAATAATAAAAGAACAGACATTTATTTATATGTTTAAACAATATCATGTCTCGATGTTACTTTTGCAATAAAGATTTTTGTGGATTTTTGGAGCTCACTTACAATGATTGTGACGAAGTTAAAACGACCTTCAAAAAGGTCAGGTCATCGTAGTTTAGCAGTAAATGCGATGCAAGTATTAAATAACTCTAGCTGAAAATTGAAATTTACTCATGTAACATTATATTATTCCAATCGTTAATTTCACAATTCCATTTTTTTTACTATTTGAATTTGAACTCATTGTGTCTCACCTCTCTCATTCCCGTAGCTAAAGTCACGTGGCCATTGTGTACATTACCATTGAAAGAAGCGTGGGCGAATAATGTCACGCTGTGGTGTCAAGAATGACCCCTCAGGTACAGTATTTAAAAGATAGTTAAAAACTTGCCTGCGTATTTTATGATGTAAAACATATTAAAATGTTTTTGAAACCTGTAATTGCAGCGTTTTTGTTTCACATATGAATGCTTCCAGTAAATTACACTGCAGTTTAAAATTTAAATAATAAACACATATTATTATAAGTTCAAGTAATCATATTCAGCAGTAATTAATTAAGGTTTTTTATTTATGTTCTTAAATTTACCTTTCTATTTTGACGTTACAGAACGTAAGTAATAGGGAAAGATAAATAGCAGTGTGATATGAACTTGTAATATGCTGTCATTCGTACTGCATCATTTGCACGATTAATTTGTCAGCGCCGATATTATATTCATAATTATATACCGGCACTAGAAGTTTATAAAATAAGCTGTAAGTGTTTCTCTGCACGTCCATCCACTGAATGTTCAGTTCAATACCAAGGATTCCAGAAGTAAACCAAACCATATTACTGTAGATTAACCCACATTCAGTACTTAATCTTTGAGACTTGTCTGTAATTTTGGTGTAACACCATACAGTGTCAGGCCACAAAACTGCCTGTTCCTTATTACATATATAAGGGGGGTTACATATTCCCTCATTAGTACAAAGTTTCATGGATTAGCACTCCTGTCTGATATGTACTATTTGTGCTAATGCATGAAAGATAGAGCTAGGTGCCTACAACTGTAAAATGCAGCTTGATCTTATTGAAGAAACTTTGATTTTTGAGTACATAAAATCATTGTTTAATAGCTTGATTGATCCAAGTAATTTGGACTTAAGGTCTCTTTGCTCAGATTTTTTTCTTTGTCTAATGCTTGCTTTTAATTCTAGTCTTGCAGAGGCAATGAATTCATTTGGATTATATGTATCTTTTATGTGCATCTGTTTGACTGAGTATAGGCATTTGTAGTATTTTAGATTTGTAACCCCTTGTATATTTATATGTTGATTAATGGTTTCAGCAACTTTTTTCAAATTTAATGCTCTATGAAATACTGAAATTGTAGGACACGGAGGTTGAGATAGCTCCAGAACCATTGTGTTCACATCAGAATAAAAGGACTCAACTTTTGCAAACAATGCCCTCCTGATATTAGTTTTTCAATCCAATGGACAGAAGAGTAAAGAATGAAAGAATTGGGATTAAAGCCATCCTTTTGATATTTTGTACTGAACATCACCTTAATGAATAGACTTGGTTCATATTTTCAGTATACATAATAAATATTTAATATATGATCTTACTCAATTGTGACATTATCCATAGTATTTGAAACAGTCACTGTTTCCTTTAAAAATTAGCTCTCCCACAGCCCTCTTTTTCATAGCATGCTCACAAAAACACATGTGAATGTGCACTTCCAAATTATCTGGTAGGTCAGATATGGTGCAAACTCTCTACTTATTCTGCTCATAGTATTGATTAGTAGTAATTACTGCTGCCAAGAAGATTAAAATTTTACAACGTCAGTGGTTGTATGGCCACCTCCCAAAACTGAATACAGAAATAAGGATGTTCAGAAAGTAAATATGGGCAATAGTTTCACCATTATTGTGAAACAGCTGAGATGCAACATGTAGGTTTTGCATTATCTGTTAATTATTGTTCAAAGCTTATTAGGATTTACTTCCAGCTTATTGGCTTTGTATCCTGATTAAGATGCTTTGAATATTCAATATGTAAAGCTTATTTGTGAAACTACTGCACTTGTAGAGTTTACTTGTTTGTATGCATATTGTATAACAGTGATATTTAAAAAATTGTACAGGTACAAAAATAAAAGAAAAAATAGTTAATCTGATAGATAAATGAAGCACAATTAAAATGGTAATATTCTAAGTGAATTTTGGATGGAAAAAAGTTGGAAGTTCAGTATGATAAGATTGAAGGTTAAGTGCATTTGGTAATCCCAACAATGGAACCAAAATGTTATCTATTCATAATTCTTTATTTAAATACTGGATTACCTTTACACACTTCTGGTGCATATTTTCACATTATTATTTTCACAAATTCTTTGTGTTGCTTCAAGGAAATGGAAATTTATTTTAAAAGTATAAGAAATAAGTGTTATTTTGACTAGCTTGGTAAAATATTTAACTTCAATATTTATGTTTAAAATGATGTTGATAATGAAAATAAATTAAAATCGATTTCAAATACGGTGACTGAAACAAACAAACAGATTCAGATTTCTACTAATAGGCATCCCATTTACAAAAATAGTTTTAAAATTGTATGTGTGTATGTGTGTGTGTGTAATGAATGTTGTAGCCATATGCTGGGATTGATCTTAACGCTGCTTTATGGAATGACAACAGTTTGATATTTCATACCTCACTTATTCTGCAGTAACTTAATGCCCATCAGCAACATTTTTTAAAGGTAGAATTAAGTGTCAATGAAAATAGATAGCAACAGTTGTAAATTGCAATTTGTGGCCTTGATACAAAATCTCTATTAGTTAATGTTATTGATAAAGAAAAGAATACTTTTAAGTATTAAGTACTTAAAAGATATATGTACAATTTTTTTTATGGTCCGGTTTATTTTTAAGAGTATTTCATTTCTATAACAATTGGGTTTTTATTGAGAATGCAATATTCTGTATCTAATCAAGTATGTATCCTACCCTATGGGTTTACCATATGGTTTAAAAATACTGTCTTATCTTCATATCCTCTCTCAGACTTGGTGTCTGTTAGGGTTAAGTTTGGACAGCTGCCTTCCAGCTTATTGTACATTGTTCCATGCATTTCTCTTACAGGCCAGAAACCATGTGATGGCAAGCTTACATGGCAAGGCAGCATAAATAGCCGTTAGTAAGAAAGAAGAAGAGGGAGAGGTAAGCTATTTGACAATTGTTTAAATTAAAAAGTTTTTTTTTTTTTTTTTTAGAATTTTCAAAGGTAAAACCTGGCTTAAATACTGTGTTAAGAAGTTAGTTGTAGTGTGATATTATCCTGACTGGATAGTTGAAAATAAAATTGTGTTATTGATGCTGAATTTTTACAACACAGTCAAGGGTGCATTTTGTACATGTGTTGTGCTATTTCACCATCTCCAAGTTTGCATCAGGTCTCTCACTCCACGCTTGGCCCAGTGGACACACGGCCCCGTGGCCTAAGTATTACTGCTGGTGCCACACTGCCTCACTGCACAAATTCATGCTTCTAGCAAAAAGCACATTAAGTTTGCTTTAAATGAACTCTGCATTTGGCAAGCAGATTTTGGAAAAATTGAAGGAAGATAAGGTAAGTGTCATTTATTTCTGTTATTATACTTGCATTGCGTCTGAACCTGAGCTATGAACAGTGCTGTAGCATTGCCAAAATAGTGTGTTTCTGATGTGGTACAAACATTTGGCAAGGGCTTGCATACTAAGCATGCACAAATTGAATTAAACCCCCATCATGCAGTGAATGCCTTGAGTGTAGTTGTGGTTTGATTTTTTTACTACACCACAGATCTGTACTAATGCATAGAGGAAGAAAAAATAATTTGATCCCGCATAATTATTGTAATGTACAGGTTAAAATATAGTAATGTGCTTTTGATGCAAAGTAAGTATACTTTTTCATAACTTGGTAGCACCAGGTCTGTATCTTCATATGCACATAATCGATATTTGACTGAAATAGTACACTCGCAATATTTGTGCAATTCAAGGTATTTTTTTTTGTAATAATTAAGGAGGTATTTCATCAAGTTTGTAATTGATAAAAGTGTCTGTGTGTGCACTTGTTCGCGTACCTGTGTGTGTGTGTGTGTGTGTGTGTGTGTGTGAGAGAGAGAGAGAGAGAGAGAGAGCTATTCCATAATTGTAACAATTTGCAAGCTGCATAGTCGACCCCATCCCATTTAAGTGTTCCATTTAAATTCTTTCTGGCACAACAATGTGTAGAAATACAATTAAATGTCACTGATTATCTGTGAGCATCACATTGCATCCCCTATACATTATCCTACGACCATTTGAATTAGATTAGATGATATCAACATTATTTGTATCAGTGTGGCCTGCTCTTAAAAATATGGGCATGCAGAATGAAAAAAAATTGAAATTCTACACATTTCTCCAATTTCTGTTAAAGATCAACTGTTATGATATACAAGTAAACCTGCTAAAATCAAAATAGCAATGGAAAGTCTGCTTGTCAGTATTATTAATTAATTAATTATTGTCTTACCTTATTTGGGGATTTTTAGAATAATTTTAACATAAGAACAAATTTTAATTTCTGCAGAAAGAAGTTGCTCTCAGTTGTGAGTAATGAACAGTGGCACTGAGTATGGGTCAGATAATAGGACTTTGAAGTTGGGACCTTCCTGCCATATGTTTTGTTCATATTGTCATTAAATAAAGGAAGTGGAAGTTTAGAAACTGTCAGGATCCCTCTCTGCCCTCTTCCATTGCATACAGTAGAATGATCATTGAGAGCGCACAGATCATGATATGTCAGTAACCCTCAGCGGGATGACCTTCATAAACAGCAAACATGGTCTGAGGAGAAATCCGAATGACGCAAGTCTACCAGGACTTAAAACAAATGTAAACAGCAGGTTTGAATAAGGCATTCAAGCGAAGTATAAGTGCAACTTTCTGTACTGTTTGACAGCAGCTTAGGTTGTATGTCAGCTGCCATCTAACCTTGCCTTTGCTACATTGATGAAAAACACTTCCTGGGGTCTTATTAACAGGCTGCTCACGTGCAGCTTGTTCGAATTAAAGAAGTGTGA